CAGATATCAGACGCTATTGTTTGATTTTTATTTACCAAAATATTGCTAAGGCCGAACCTCTTTATAATAGGCATAGCCTGGAAAGTTTCACATTGTTAAAATGTAATAAAATTCATAGTAAAGTTTATCTTGTAAAAATAAATATAAATATGTACATAAGGGTAGCTAAAAATATTTGTAGTTCACTGACTCAACCTGCTTGGAATTTCCACAAAAACATTTCCAGATTTGTTTCTAGATAAGTTGAAGTTCAATGCCGAGATTACTAAAAGCTTTTTTGTTCAACCGGAGACAGCTAGATTAAAGCTAAAGAAGCTTTTGCTCAGTCCTCTTGGCAAGTCTAAAAAAGTCTACATAAAAGCTGCAAAAAGCTCGCACAGTGGTTCGCATGTTGACAACAACATTTGCGGCGCTTATCAATGGCGATTGCGCTCAGTCATTCTAAATGTTAAATCTAATGCTTTCATTAACACATTTATTATTCTCGAAAATAAACCTACAACAAAAAGTTGTGTTTTGTGATTATAAATAGCATAATAATCATTTGAATCGAACGCTAATCGAATCAAATCGCTTTGCATGCAGCCAATTCATGACAACTCTCGCAGCTAATGCGTGATCCTTCTGGGCATATCAATTAGCAGTTTGTTTTAAGTTTATAAATAATAAACAGCGCACGATTCCCGCTATGGATAATTGATTTATTTGCATAACACACTTGGACACGGGTAAATACAACCTGCACAAGCTCCGTTTTAGGCAGCGTAGCTCTGCTTTGATTTTGCTTTTCTTTTCTTGCCAAAACTCTAATAAAACAACGTGCCTGGCATTTTGAGTTCGACATAAATGCATAGAAATGCTTATCAATTGTTTTTTGGACTTATGCGTGCTTACTTTTCATTTGTTTTTATTTTTATTATACTATTGTAGAGAGTACTTTCATTTTGTTGCGAATTGTGTAACGCTCAGTTAAAACTTTTATCATCTATGTAACTTTGCCGGTCGGATTAGACCAATTTCTTTTCGAAAATTAAGTTCTTATCTGAAAACCTTTTGTTTTTCAAAATATCTTGAGTATTAGCTTCTTATGTATGAGCAATATGAGAAGAGTCTGAGCAATTTTTTTTCAACATCCAACAACTATATCTTATAGCTGCCTTTGGCACGTTTATCGGACAATATTATATAAATAATACACCAGATTGTACTCAAATTTACAGCTTTTGTATGAAAGCACTTCTGAACTCTATTTCTACAGGGTATTCAAAGCCCGACATGCCGGTAGATAGTAATGCCCTCTAGTTTTCATTATGTCTATTTTGCTTCCTTTGCCAAACACTGATCGATCTTTCTCCCTTTCTCGACTTCGCCCACATACGTTTATGTCTCCGTCAATCAGCTAACCAAATATTTACTTTGGCTATTTGGCAAACGTTACTCGTAAGCCGCAAACAAAAGACAATTGCAAATATTGTTATTGGGCATTTGTGAAGAACACTAAGCAGTTAATCAAACCGAGTTGCAATTGCACATTTCAAATGCCGCGAGACCAAAGAAAAAGTTCACATATTTGTGTGGCTATAAAATGATTATGGTTTTCTGGCATATGACAGACTATAAAGAAACATATCTGGCGCGATTTTGTCGCAGACAACATTTCCTATTGCTATTTTACCTAGACAAGATTGCGAGTAGGCGGCTGTTTGCCAGCATTAAACAGTTTTTTATGGGAACGGGATTAAGATCACAAAGGTTATCATGATTCAACTTGTGCAGTAAAAACATGTATATGAAAAATACATTTATATTTAGACACGCTCGCGAAGCTATATAAGAAATATATACACTCTACATTATATATATACATATATATATATTTGTATATACATATAAGATGTGCAATCTCCGCATTCATTCAGAATATTTGTGTACCCCGAACCTTATGACAATGGTTAAGAAGTGTGTTATGTATTATGCTTTCGTGCTAATGTATGTGATAGGCAAGAGGAAGCATCTGACCCCATTAGGTATATAAGATCGGGGGCGAAAATGTATATTATATATTCTCGTACATCTCAGATCAAATCAATTTTTTTTCGATATCTTCTCGATAAATTTCGATTTTTTGTAATATCGATAAATATTGAATATAATCGATAATATCGATAAATATCGAATTGTCATGTCTGAAAATTCAAATAGATCGGATAAAAACGAAGTTAATCAAGAATGTATTACCCATAGAAAGTATGAGACTAAGCGTTGAAGAAGCACAGCCGCTGCAGAAAGTTGCCAGTTTGTGTGTGAATATTTGTAGTGGCAACTTTACGGTCGATGAAGGATATTTCCTAGTCGGACCCCCCTTATTAGAGTACTCTCACTTGTTTGCCCATTTACTCAATTAAAATGCGCTGCGATTGAGACATTTAACGCGAATTGCGTGCAATCATGGGCGCACTTTTGATAGACAAACGCCACAGAATCAGATCAGAAACAAATCGTTGCACTGATTTATTTGTTCACATTGCGTAGCACATGAAACGCAATTTCAATTTGCAATTGTTGCTGCAATTGCGACAATGTAATTGATGGACAGCCAGTACTTGGGGCTCGAATGACCGGCTGTTGATAAGCAGACCTTTGGAGTTTCAATTGCAGCCAACGTCACGCATTCAGCTACTGTCAAAGTAAATACTTGCAGATGTGTTATGGGTAAACTTTTACTCATGATATCCATTCATTTCAGTCAGGTGTTAAGGCCAGCTAATACCGGCTGATAACAACGCGCGTATTTGCTTATATGTATTGCTTTTTATTTTTAAATTTATCTTTCATAATATTTAAATGACAGGGCAGCAGAGCGCACGAGAGGTTGTAAAACGTGCAGTCAGGAGATATATATCTATAGAGAGAGAGAGAGAGAGAGAGAGAGAGCGAGAGAGAGTGGGCCCTCTTATTTTTTAAGACGCTAAACAATTCTAGAGACTGGAACTGTTTTTCATGCTCGCCTCGCTCGCACGCTGGCTGTGGAGGATTTGCTAATTGCGGTTGGCCTCTCTAGGGTCTCTCGCGTCTAAAAATGGGCTTTTGATTTACGCAAAATATATATATGTATATATATATATATGCGCAATGTGGATACACATATATAAATATTTGTCTATGGCACTCCAATGCTCAGATTGACATTGACAGTGGAGCTGACACTTTGTGTACAATACCCTGCGATAGTTAAACAGCAAAAACGTTAGGAGTTCTTTCTCATACCGGAGATATTGCCGTGTTTAAGATTTGCCTATATATTTATATAGCATAATATTGTCAGAATGAGTCGCGAGTGCTTTGATCGGTAAATATCAAAAATAAACTTCCATAAAGAATGTTTCAGTATACATTTGTGGTTATAAAAATAATTTAGACTGTGCTTTTTGACAAATTACGCAAACTTTGGCATCCAGTTTGACCTTCAAATGAACAAAAAATTGGCATAGAAAATAAAAGAAAATTCGGGGTTTTGTTTCCAAAGTAAAAAACCCAAAACTTTTACGAGTTTGGGTTTAGATTTGAGTAAAAAAGTTTCCAACTGGCCAAAAAAACTAACAAGTTTTCTAAATATTTCTTTTTAGCGTTAATATTAGTATTCATACTAATATAAACACAGTTTGCGAATTAGAAGCGGGAGATTTTAAATATTTGAATATCCTTAACCCAATATTTTATTGTGTCTGTTATTTATGTTGTTTAGTTATTTAACAAATAGCTGGTGTGGCGAAAAAAGTACTAAAAATACTTATAAACAACAAAAAATTGTCGTTAAACTTGAGTGTCAATATTGTCTTTTGACCACATTTACTCAGATTCAGAGGACTTTTAAGTATTCATGAGTTACGATTTGCATATTTATGGATATTGTTTGCCATATGCTAAATGTGTTAGATAAAAATTAGGCTACAGGCATCTAAGATATATCCCTATATCCTTGTCTTAAGTAGAGTTACAGTCATCTAAAATATATCTCTATATCTTTGTCTAAAGTAGGGTTTTGTTCATTGGCGATTAGAACAATGGGACTCGTATATACAAGTGATATAGCCTGGATAGAGCGTTCATTTCGGTAACAAAAATTCAAATTGGCCTGAAACTATGAACATTACTAAATAGTAACCTAACTAGCAGTCTTGGAACTGCCCAACCCGTTGTAACGACCAAAAGAGTCAGATGGTTTCTCTATTTCAGCCTCAATTGACTCGAATTTCGGGCACCAGAAAAGTGTCTCTTTTAGTCGCCTCGTACGACAAGCAGTGACATACTGTGGTGGTTATTCTAAACATATGATAGTATTATATATTTGCCATACATATGCTACTCTCGTATATGTTATATATGATACTCTCATATATATGACCATTTGATAGAGTAAAAGGAGTCGAATTGCGCCACTTAGTGCTCCTTAAGGATATTTTTCTGTTCGCCATCAATTGAATGTATAGCATTCCCCCAGAAAGGAGGCCTCAACTCAAATTGCGGCTGGTACCGGCACAAGTTTCAAACCCTGGCGACAAATTTAAGGCCTTGGTCAGCAGTTCGTAGCCGAAGCTAAACTCATGTCAGACAAGGAGTTTTGTCAGAAATTGATGACAGGATCTGTTCATGTAGCAACTGAGCAGCAGATCTAGACAATCTGTTTCACCAAGAAGTTGCGCATTGTACACAAATTAATCAAAATGTAGTAGCAACCGTCATAGTAGATATGATGTGTGTATGTCTGCGTGTGATTGAAAGATCAAATTTAATGGAAAGGCTTTTGCATGGATGGCCGGGTGCTAATGCTCGAGCATGATTGATGAGCTTGATTTGATAATTTGTGGCCAGGCCAGGCGCCAAGTTCCTCCTACTGTTTGTTTGGCATGCTAATCAAAAAAAAAAAAAATAAAGAGAAACAGCAACCGAATTTAGCTGCTGGCATTTGCTAATTAAACGCTAATTATTTGGCATTTCAGTTGTTTGAAGGTGTTCAAAATGAAGGCATCGACATTGGATAAAATCAGCTGCTTCCTGGCCGAGCTGCTGGGCACAGGCATTCTGGTCTTCCTCGGCTGCATGGGCTGCGTGAAAACGGACATCTTTCCCAACAATCATTTGCAGATAATTCTTAACTTTGGCTTTGCGGTTCTCATTGCCATCCAATGTTTTGGCTGTGTGTCCGGCGCCCATCTGAATCCCGCCGTCACAGTGGCGGCCTTTATCTATGAACTGGTCAGTTTGCCCATGGCTTTTGTCTACTTTGTTGGCCAAATGTTGGGTGCCTTCATTGGCTACGGCCTGCTCAAGGCCTTGCTGCCATACGCAACAATAAATGTGCCCAATGGCCTCTGCGTTACACTGCCCCATGCCGATGTCTCCAGCCCGCAGGCCTTTGGCATTGAGTTTGCGGCCACCTCGATTCTGGTCATTGTTTGCTGCGGCGTCTGGGATCCGCGCAATGCCAAGCACCACGATTCCGTGGCCATTCGTTTTGGTCTGGCCATTGCCGGTTTGGCCTGCGCCGCGGTAAGTTGCAGTCTGCGCCCCACTGCTGCAGGTTTTATCTATAGCCATATATTTTATTTGTTGCTTGCAGGGTCCCTTCACTGGCGCCAGCATGAACCCGGCCAGGTCCTTTGCGCCAGCGCTCTGGAACGGCAACTTTGATGCCCACTGGATCTATTGGCTGGCGCCGCTGAGCGGTGCCGCCGTCACTGCCATCGCCTACAAGGCCGTCTTCCGGCGAGAGGTTGTCGAGGCGCAGATCATGTCCGACGAGAAACTGCGCCAACTGGAGGATGTTCAGCTCTCATAGGCCAATGTCACACAAGTGCCAAAACTGCTCTGCACTGCTCTCCCAGTGCAAGGGCAACCCCTTAAACAAATCTAACTAGTTTTAAGCTAAGATCAATATGAACGAATTTTATATTGATACAAATGTTTGTATACTTATATAAAGCTTCGATAAATAAAGCACATAGACATTTTTTCTATCTCAAAAACGTATTTTTTTAGCTCTTAATTTTTTTTTTCATATATTTATATTTTTTTGGCAAACCGAAGACAAAAAACTTTACGGCGTATGACACATATATAATTTAATACTCAGATCATACGAAAAATTAAATTTTTGAATAATGAGTTCGAATTATCATCTGGATACCAAATTTACTATTGTGATCAGCACTAGCCTAAGCCTTAGATAATAGCTTGGAAAAAACTAAAAAATGTACCACAGATGTGGGTGGAACTTTAATAAGTTCTTCTCTATATATAAAACTGTTTGTCCTGACTGACTGACTGTCTAACTTACTGAATGACTGGCTGATTTGTCATCACAGCGCAATTTGGCTTCTAAATCTAGCAACATTATTCTTGGTCAAAATTCATGTGTAAAAATTCCCAGCCCTCGGCTAAATCTCATCCAATTTCTACGAGGTTTGGCTCTATTTTCATGGTTTGGCCTCTTTAACAATTTGGCATCTAAATCTGGCAACATTTTTTTTTTGTCAAAATTCATGTGTAAATGGTAACCTCAAATATCCTACATAGAAATTGGTCAAAATTTCCCACCCCCATAACTCGGCCAAATTTAATAAGATTTCCATGAGGTTTTGCTCTTTTTTCATGGTTTGGCCTTTAGATCAGTTCGGCATCTAAATCTGGCAACATTAATTTTGGTCAAAATTCATGTGTAAATGGTACCCTCAAATATCCTATATAGACATTGGTCAAAATTTCCCACCCCCCTAACTCGGCCAAATCTCATCCGATTTCCACGAGCTTTGGCTTATTTTTCATGGTTTGGCCTCTTTAACAATTTGGCATCTAAATCTGGCAATATTATGGTTTGTCAAAATTCATGTGTAAATGGTAACCTCAAATATCCTATGTAGACATTGGTCGACATTTCTTGACATTTGGCTCATTGTTTATTTATTTTATACGTACCACGGGCAACGCCGGGGTATACCCGTTAGTGTTATATATCTACTATCATAGGACTTTAAAAATACGTTTGAAGTTAATCGGACAAAATGTAAAATTTCGCCCACAAAGCTTTGATCCGCATTTTCCATCGAGAAAAAATTTCACCTTCGTAGCGCTAATCAATCAATCAGTCATCAGATATGGACTTTTTCGGTTTGCGGAGTCAGAACTCAAAGTAGTTTGACTAATTTTGAACAAAACAGGAAACCAAATTTAAAGTAGAAAATCAGCGAATATTTATGCGTTGTCTAGAAAGGCTAGAATTGATAAAAATCTCTAGACACACTGATTGCCAGACTGATATTGTGTGAAAACTATCAGTGCCAAGTAAATTATGTGAAGGTGGTCATATTGCATTGCACCTCAGCCTTAATCAAAGTAGAGTGCAATGGGGTTTATGAATAATTGCAATAGTGGCATTTTTCCTGCCACTTCAATGTGCCCGTCGTTCGTAGCGGAGGCGCCTCAAAGTAGGCCAGCATTGGGCGGCGTTTCGCTGTCATTAATCAACTGTACTTAGCGGCCATTGCGATATTGGCCAAGCCGAGGCGCCATATTCGCAGCTGTTGACCATCTTAGAAAGATAAGATTGCGCATTAAATGCCAAGCCGTGTGGCAATTCCTGTTAAACAGCGATCCACACTGGAAATTTTGGCTGGGTAGACCCCATTTAAAGAGTTCCAAACATGATTAATTAATTATTAATTTGCTTCTGGGCTTGACTCGACAATGACAATACCAACTGGCGTAGGTTGCCCTATCTAGGCAAAATAAAAATATCCGCATAATAATTAGCATTAAAGTTTTATAATTCATATTGATTGATTAGGGCCAAAATATCAAAGTCGAAACCTTGCGCTGGTCGGGGCCCGCTGCTACCACGAGCAGCCAGCCCAGCCAGCCACCTCAGTTGTATTTGGACAGCATGTCGCAGCAGAAGTTAAGGATCAGCAATTCCAGCTCCAGCTCAAGCTGGAGATATCTGAGGTTGCGTCGGGAGCACAGACCGCGAATAGCTGCCTTTTTTGGCGAGCTGGTGGGCACGGCCGTTTTCATATTCATCGCCTGTATGGGCTGTGTGACCACGCCCCTGTTCCTTAACTCGCACTTCGAGCTGAGCCTTAACTTTGGCCTGGCCATACTGATTGCCATACAGAGCTTTGGCGCCATTTCGGGGGCCCATCTGAATCCGGCCATCACACTGGCCGCCTTAATCTATGGCGCTCTCGGTTGGGCCATGGCCATTGCATATTTGGTGGCCCAGGTGGCAGGTGCTCTCATTGGCTACGGTTTGCTGAAGGCCGTGCTGCCCCTGAATGCCATCATCGGTGTGGACGAACCGGCTGGTGTCTGTGTCACAGTTCTCAGCAGCGACATTTCGGTGCTTCAGGGCGTCTTCATTGAGCTATTAATCACCAGCTGCCTGACGATGGTCGCCTGCTCGGTCTGGGATCCACGCAATGATAGACTCAAGGATTCGGTGCCAATACGCTTTGGCCTAACAGTCGCGAGTCTCAATTTATCAGCGGTCAGTATGATGCACGCATTTCTGAGTTAGCCAGTTTCAATTGAATTTTTAACAGGGCCTATTCACCGGCTCGAGCATGAATCCGACACGATCCCTAGGACCGGCTGTGTGGAACAATTCCTGGCAGCACCATTGGATCTATTGGGTGGGTCCTCTAGTAGGCGCCGCACTCACTTCGGTCATCTACCGATTCGCGTTCAAAGGCCGCAGCGAAGAAGTGATTGAGTTCCGCAGCTCAAATGCCAAAATACAATTTATTGATAAGGTTTAGAGTTAAGCTTATGCTTTAGAAGCCACATTAGTTTTTAAGTTAAGCTCAAGTTTAATAAACTACTAACTAGTTCATGAAAATCGCATAGAAAGGCGGCATGAAAGAGGGAAAAAGCGCGAGTGCGTCAAGGCTGCGAGTGAATGTAAAAAAAGAGAAAGATTCTATCTTTTTGTTTTTTTATTATTGAAATTTATGTGCTTTTCTTGTGTTATGCTCAAAAATTCTAATGTCTTTGAGAATAAGAAAGCAGATGAGAGAGCCAGTAGAAAGAAGAGAGGATAAAAGCTGTCTCTGCGCGAGAAACATAAATAGAAGCTCTAGGTTATGAGAATCGCATAGAAGGGCGAACCGAATCTAGTAGTGAAAGAGTGTGACTCATTAGCACATGCAACGACAGGTGTCTAGATTTCAATGCAAAATATTTGGTTTGACAGAAAATAATCAAATCAATAATTATAAAACTGGGATTTCCAGTTTAAATAGTCACAAAAAAAAATAAATAAAACGCGATTATCAGAGATTTCTGTACTAAGTTTACTAGCTACTAAGCGTCATGACTAAGAGACTTGGCTGCACAGCAGTAAAAAATAATAATAATCAAACAGACATCAACTCGTTCATCGACTTTTAATATTAATGATAACGTCCTGATCAAGTTAAAGACCTCAAACAAATTGATTGTCGGTAACGCCACATGACTCTAGACATAAGACTGAGCTTTGAACTGCACTAAATACAGAATTAGCTGTCGATTCTTCTGATAGCAAATACTCAATAAAAGTTAAATTCGGTATTTGGAGCAATGACAGCTAGCGCCAAGGCTTTATATTTAGTTATCAGAGCACATTGCAGATGATATAAATGCAATCTCCATTGAGGAAATGTGTACAAATTTCAAAAATATTCCTTGGAATGCAACCTACTCTAACTATCTATAAATGAGCTCTTTTTTATAGAATGCACTCCTTGCGTTATTAAATACTTTAGTATTTGATTTAATGGGAAATTAAATACTGTAAATAAAATACTTTGTCAGAGCTGTAACAGCTTTGTAAAGAGCTCTCAGACTCTACAAGTGTTAGGGCGCTTTATTTGGCATTAAGGTACTTGTCTGCGTCTATAAATTATGAAACAATCTTTATATAGGTTAAGTTTAAAATCTATCCTTGAAAACCCACGCATTGTGTAATAAAGATTGTTTGTTTTGTTAAGTCTGAACGCCAATTTTGCTCGAATCACGCAGCGTGATTTTTATTATTTATTAAAAGTACTGAAGTCAAGAGTTGCAGATACAGACTAGCAGATACGCTATGCTCAGCTCTAACTAATAATTTAAAATATATTTGTCTATGTACGCCGAGAACCTAAACAGTATGTCAAACTTGTGGAATCTACAAGTTATGCTCAAAAATCATCTTTAAACCGATTAATAACGATTATGGGGAAGTAAGGCTATCGATTTTTGTAGTGCTTTATAAATGGTTAGGGTAACTAGCAGTCGATCACTTTCGACTAACGTATTGTAGGTTGTTTTTACCATTTAGATCTAATGGATTTGGTTATCAGGAATGTTGCTTCGCATAAGTGCATGTCGAAGATTGCAATCAATTTTCGAGGTGTACCAATAATCTCTACCAATAAAATACACTCCCAACCTGTTGGTCTGCCATAAAAAATATAAATATTTAGCAAAGTTCTCAGCAGTAATAAATAAATACGCATACAAGTAACAAAGTCAGCTGATAATTGGCTTTAACGTTTGATAATTTGATAGTTGATAATAGCCATTGTTGAAGATTAGTAGCAATTCAAAGTCGCCAGCATGGACGCGATTCCAAAGAGAGAGAGTTGAGTAGCTCTGCAAGTACCTGTCAATGGGTCGAGTGGCAGAGCTAATCATCCAACGACAACAACCGAACACGCACAGTGTCCCACCATTCCTTCTCTCTATGAGAATTTGATTCACATTTTCCGCACATAAAAGCTCTTTTAGAGGTCATCTTCAGTTTCACGTGATGGAAATATTCGCTATTACGGAATTCACTGTGAAATCTGAAGAGTACAAACAAAAATTATGAACGATTTCCACTTGATGAAAACTCTTTAAATAAGAGCCCAACATATTTGTATATGAGTTATCAACCGTCTACGCCCGGATTAGGTACATAGAGTGTTTACGGAACAATTCTAATAGATTCCCAAATGGAGAGGCTTTCGAGGAGCAGATAGCGGCTCTTTTGAAGATAATAGAAAGAGACTGTCGGCGGAAATACGAATCGAAATGGGATTAGTAGGCATAGCCAAGTCTGCTACTGGTAATATGAAATATTAGAAATACAGCCCGAAAATTTATTTAAAAAACCGAATTTGGCTTTGTTGATCTGTATCCGCGGGCTAATGAACCCACGTTTATTACAGAAATTTTGATTCAAATCCATCAAAAGCCATTCTCTATCAATTTCAATAATAATATTGGCGAACGAACGAATGGAACTTCATCCAAACAAAGAACTCGAGAAGACGCACACGAGATGCCATAGACACTCTCTTAGTTTCATCTCGTCCTCTGATAACTTCCTTGTCCTAAAACTTAATCAATCTGAATTTTATAACTGATTTGTCGGATTCCGATAATTCATTCCATTTGATTTACGCATCCCGTAAAAAATGCTATTTAAACCACTGTGCAAAGCCATAGTGCACTCTCATATTCGTCTCTGACGTGGAGGCTCGATTCAGTTGCGTGCTGTGCGTCGGGGTAAAAAGTTGGTAGTCCGTCATTTTTACATACGTGTAGCTACTTCCATTATGGCCGAGGAGAACAAGATCCGAAGGCAGGTGCTGCTGTTGCTTTTTAGTGTGATTAAAGTCTAATCCTTTGCCATTTCCTACAACTCTTGCAGAACCCAGATTCTGGACAAGGTATGCATCGTCTTTGGCGAGCTGATTGCGACGGCCTTCCTAATATACCTGGGCTGCATGGGCTGTGTGCAGACTCCTCTGATCGCCAACTCGCACATCCAGAGTGCAATTAGTTTTGGATTTGTCGTGCTCATCTGCATTCAGTGCTTCGGTTGTGTGTCCGGTGCGCATCTCAATCCCGCCGTAACATTGGCCAGCTATGTGTACAAGCAGATATCGTGGCCAATGGCTCTGGCCTTCTTCGTGGCCCAAATGCTGGGCGCCTTCATTGGATATGGACTGCTGAAAGCATCATTGCCCGACAATATTATCTGCAGCACGATAACCCCGCAAGGTGCCTGTCTGACCACCGTCGCCAGCGGCGTCGCACTATGGCAGGCTGTCCTCATCGAGTTCCTAATCACCTGTGTGCTGATCACCATCTGTTGCGGTGTTTGGGATCCACGTAACGCTAAATTCCAGGACTCGGTGCCCGTACGCTTTGGTCTGGCCATTGCGTGTTTATCCCTAACTGCGGTGCGTATTTAACCCCTCTCCACCCTAAGCCACTCCCAGACATTCCCATCTCTATGACATTGTATACTAATTGACTCTGATTTATATCCATACATATTATAGGGTCAGTTTACGGGCGCGAGCATGAACCCAGCCCGTTCATTCGCCCCGGCTGTATGGAACAATGCCTGGGAGAATCACTGGGTCTACTGGGTGAGTCCCTTGGCCGCCGCTTTGGTCACATCGCTTGTCTACAAGCATGTTTTCCGGCGCCAGGTAAACGAAGCCGAAAAACCGATCCAAAATAACGAGTCACAGCCGTAGGAGCCACCATTAATTAATTCAAAAAGTGTTATGTGAATAGGTCTAGCTATATTTAAATTTGCAAGTGAATTCGATATAAACAATAATGGTACAAATTACCACAGCTGCATGTTTAGCCGACACAAGTTCGGGGTTTCTACTAAAACGGAAATATAATGGCGCAAAGTAAACTAAAAACCTCGAGCTCGAGCCAGCTTAACATCCAGCCAGACATTAGAAAGGTCGCCAAAACAAATAACAATTAATCAATATGTATGTCGTGTGGCCTAAGGGCAATAAAATAAATCAGTTTAATGAAAATTCTTACCTTTGCGTGTTGCGAACATCTCTTGAATTGGTTCCCTCAGAAATTCCAGCAGGCCACAATTATTTTGCTCATTAAAAGCTTGATTGGGCATCGGCTTTTTGGTAAGTAGTTGTACAATCTATTTCCAAGAAAAGCAATCTTCGGCGAGTCCCAGGCGAGTGCCTCATCCAATTCCCACAGTTGCGAGTGCTATATACATAAATAAAAAATATAAAAAAAACAGGGTTAGATTTATAGTTTAACAATATCCCATACTTTTAATAACTGTAGCCCAAAGCAAGAATAGATTTCATAGAATTCAACTATTAGATGCCTTGCAACAAATCTTGAAAATTTTTCCATTACAGCTGGAGCTCAACATGATGCTATTTTAAATTAGATTATTGTCGAATCTTATCTAGTTGGTTAATGTTACAATCATTTTTGTCATTGTTAAGTTATAAATTATTTTTAATAAGTTGTATTAGCGAAGATGATAAACTAAGCGACGACAGTCTTGCAATTTATGTAGATAAGCACAATGAGAAATACTTAAATTTATCTTACATTTTAAATTTATAGCAATTATAAAGCTGCGCTCTAATTCACATGGCAACTTGTTAGCCGGTGGCCTTTGTAGAACGCTTGAATTAAATAGACCTGGCAGGGAACCAACTAATTGCTGCTAAATGACCAGAACGAGTTGATAAATAAGTACATCAATGCAGAGATCTACTTGTATTTGTATATATAACATATTTATTTAGACAAGCATCATTCTTATGGGCTGAGATACAATTCTGATGAGTGCCTCTCGGGGGTTTCAATCTGTAGGGGCCGATAGCTCGGTGTGTAGGCAAATAGCCAGAGCTGTGGTATAATTATGGAAGCCAGCATTTGGCCGCCTAGCTGCAGTAATACCGATTCCGGATTGCCCTTGAATAGTGTGGGAATAAGTATCTTTGCCGGATTCATTGAGGCACCCGTAAGATGGCCCTGCAAATGGGTTTCTAAAAACAATGCATAAGAAAAAGGTAACAGTCTACGTACGCCTGCCAAATTGCAAACGGTCACAAGGCAGCCCATTCGTAAGGTGACCGAGTCGAGGAAACGTCCGCTGCGCACATCCCACAGTGCGCACCAGGCGAGGATCAGCACCGATGTGAGAAAGCCCTCGATGCTTAGGATCTGTATACTTGAAAGACTATTCATTGGCTCCACCATGCACACGCCCAGTTTGCAAGAATCAATCAAGCCTTGTGGCAGCATTTGCAGCAGCATAAAATATCCAAATGCAGCGCCCGCCAGCTGGCAGGCAATATAAACAAACATCATGTTGGAGCCAATATAGCCCAGTAAACAGCAAGCGACCGAAACACAAGGATTGGCATGTGCGCCAGATATAAATCCAAAGATGTGCATGACCACAACTGTGGCCAATCCGTAGTTCAAGCTTGAGATGAGATTTCCACTGGCACCCTGATCGCGCACGCTACAACCCATGCAGCTGATAACCATGAACAAGGCGGTTGCACTGAACTCGCTGAGTCCGCGCATAAATGTAAAACTATTAAACAACATTTTCGACAAATGCAACATACAATTTGGTAAAGGCAAGAGAAAAGTTTTATAGAAATATGTATGTGAACTGCTGAAGTCGAGATGGGTGTCTTTATAAAAATGTTTACTGAATGTTTTTGTCACGTCAAAACAATTGTTAGCTTCTGAAAATATGACAGCTTTGTGAGTTTCATGTGTTTTACAAGATATTTCCTACACGCATAATTGCTTTTAAGAAGAGGTAAGAGTCAAGCAAGTATTTCGAATTCTGTTACAGTATTGGGATCTTCTGGTTCATATATTACAGCAAATTAGCAATATTCTTAAAAATATTGCCAAACCCTAGACAGATAAAAAGACCGGGTACATGGGCTAACCGGAAATAAATTCAAATTTTCAGAAATTTACCCTCTATACAGCCGTTTTGTAAGGTGACCAAATTCTTCCAACGAAAAACAACTCCTTTAAAATACCAGAAAATAACAGTATTGAAAATATGGTCACTCTAGATTGCACGAGTGCTGCCACATCGCGTTATTTAAAACAGAGTGGCAATTGGAGCAATACCTGCAGACACGTATTTATTTATATTAGATGTTTTTTATATAAATTGCACTCTGTCTTAATTAAGTAAACAACGCAGTAAACAACAAGCGCAGCAGCTGTCTAACAATGTTTGCCAATCTGAAAAATAAACTCATCGAGGAGGTGAAAGCATCGCCGTCCAAATTCCAACAATTTGCCAATGCAGCCCAGGCAAGTAACAAAAAAAAAATGCAAATTAATAAAAACATACGCACACAAGCAAACAATTTGCTTTGTGTGCGTGTGTATATTAGTATGTGTCAGCTTAACGGGGAAGGGGATGCACCCAAATAGGCAATGCAATTTGCCAGAAACTGTTTTATTTGACCCATTTAACAGAAACTAGCAGCTGTGTGCACACCCAAACCCCCAAGCGCCCTCAAACACAATCACACCGCATGACACACACACACATACAATGATTTTTATCGGTATGCTTTTATAGGCCGCCGTGAGCTCATCGTCCAGCACAACAACACCAAACAGCTCGGAGAATACCGACACCGGCACCAATGAGAATTTCTTCAGCATCACAGAAGAGGGTAACATTTATTACGCTCATTTTCTTTATCAGTGTCAAATCATAATTTGTTTCTTCTTTCTACAGACACGCCTCAAAACTCGCCTTACCGCCTACAGAAGCTGCCGCGCTACGGACGTGCTTCGACCCAGTCTCTGAATGGCATGGGCGGCAGCGGCGCCATACCGCGCACCCGCAAGCTATCCAACTCGTCCATGGCAAGCGATGTTTCGTTCCGCTTGCCCACCTATGATGCGCCACCGGTAAGTGCGTGTAAATTGCAAATGTGTCTCATTAGACCACCGACTAACTTTACTTTATTTAAACAGACGTATCACTTGCAATCGGATTTGGATGAGACGAGCAGCGAATTTGATGACTCTGCATCGACGGCACGCCTGGATGTCATCACTAAAGATCAGCTATACGATGCTTACAAGAAGTCGCTCGACCGCTATCATAAATACCGCTGCCGCTACGCGGATCTGGCCAAGAAATACAAGGAACTGGAGCGAGATAGCAGCAAGGCGAGGGTATGAGAATGAATGAGAAAAAGGCATCTGAAACTTTGCAGACTAGTTTAAAGAATTGTGCCAATTTGAGCTATATTCAAGCTTTGTCTAAATATAGCTTCGAGTATGGAGTTCTTCACACGATTTATGTAGTTTGAAGAAATAGAAGCGAATCTCCAATTTTGTCCGAATTTTCACACACGTTATATATGTAAAACTCGACATTATATTATATTATAGTACCAGTTATCCAGTTGATTTTCATTGTTTAATCAAATCAAAATTCCTTTCAAGACAAATCGAATCTAAGAATCTAAAGATAAATATATATTGTATGGGATCGCGATTAGCTTTTGACACAATAATAATATTACCGTCTGCAAGGAATCTTTAAAAATTTGCAACATTTCGCCAACTGCCAACTAATCACAAATCGCTTTCAGTCAGTGCTCGTGGAGACGCAGGATAAGGCGCTGCGCCGAATCAGCGAGTTGCGTGAACAATGCACCCTGGAGCAGCAGGCGAAGGCACATCTGGAGGAAGCTTTGCGCATCGAAATGGATGACATGAGCTGCAAGATGCAGGCCTACCAAACCAAGCTAAAGCTACTAGGCGAGAATCCGGATACCGTGACCGCCGCACTGGAGCGTAGCCAAGCGGACAAGCTGATCGATCTTGAGGAGCCAATAATAATTCCTGAGTCAGCGCCAACTGCAAATGGCAGTCAACCCGCACAGGAGCTTGACGAAGAACTGGCGAAGCTTAGGCAATCGCTGGCCGAGCATGAGACACAGTTAAAGCAGCTGAGCAAAAGCAATGATGAGGCCAACAGCACAATTGCTGCTCTGCGCAAACAGGAGGAGGAGAATGTGCTGTTGCTGGCACAGACCAAACAAGCTATACACACGGAGTTGGAACATAAGGAAACCGAAGTGCGCCAGCTGCAAGATAAGGTTAAACAGCTAGAAATTGAATTGGACACGGCCAATGGCAGGGAAACGCAGTCAGTTGACATCAAGGAGCAACTTAAGAAACTGCAAAGCGCCAAACAGGAAGTGGACGCTAAACTCATTGCAACGGAGCATGTGCTAAGCACACTGAGAGTGGAGCACGCGGAAAAGGAGCAACAGCAAAAGAAAATAGAGTCCGAGTTGGCCAGCAAAGAGAAGGAGCTGCAGCAGTTGCAGGAGCAGTTGAAGCAGCAAGAAGCCGAGCTGGCGCATGCCACCAGTCGTGAATCGCAGGCAAAGGACATCAAGGAACAGCTGAAGGCGCTGCAGAATGCCAAACAAGAAGCAGAAGCGAAACTTGCTGCAACAGAACTGGAATTAAATGCTCTCAAAAATGACCAACAAGCAGAGCAACAGCAAGTGTCATCGCAGCTCATGAAAACAAAAGCTGAGCTGGAGCAAAGAGAAAGCAAATTGCAGCAGTTGGAGGAGCAGTTAAAGCAGCAAGAAGCCGAGTTGCAAATGGCAAACAGTCGGGAGACGCAAGCCGAAGCTGTGAAAGAACAATTAATGCAGCTGCAAAATGCCAAACAGGCAGCGGAGGCTCAGCTGCTTACAACGGAGCAGTTGTTAAATACACTGAGATTAGAGCACACGGAAAAGGAACAACTGGCAGCGGCGCAGGAAAAGCAGCTGCAGTCAAAGCTGGAGCATAACGAGAATGAAGTGCGCCAATTGCAGGAGCAGCTTACAAAACTAAAAGCTGAGCTTGAAATAGCCAATTCTCAAGATGAGCTTAAGGAGCAGCTGGCCAATGCCCAACAGGCAGCAGATGCCCAGCTGCTGGCCATGGAACAACAGCTGAATACACTGAAAAACGAGCAGGCGGCAAAGGAGCAACAGGTGGATGCGCTGCAGGAGCAACTGCGCACACTGAAAACGGACAGCGAGCAGAGTTTGCAGGACTTGCGCCTGCATAACACTCAGCTAAGTGAAATTGTACAGCGCTATCAGCAAAATGAGTCGAGCTTGGATGAGCTGCAGAGTCAGCTAGAAGACGCCCGAGTACGACTGATGGAGCAAGAGCAGCGTGTGCTTGAAACTGAAAAGAGCCTGGAAGTCGAACAGGAAATGGTTGCCGCACTCAGCGTCGAAAAATCAGCAGCTGAGGAACAGACGCTCAAGCTGCAGCGTGAGGTGCAAGCCCTGAGCGATCAATACGCCAGCAGCAATAAGAATGAGTCGGAGGCGACGGCAGCCTTGAGGCTGCAGATCGAAGCGCTCAACGAACAGCTGACTGCTGCTCAGGCCGGCACACTGGCCAAGGAGAAGGAGCTAAAGGCGGTCGCCAACAAACTAAACAAGCTGAAAAAGCAACACGAGCAGCTGCAGGCAAAGCATAGCGAGCAAGGCACCAGTCTGGAGCAGCTCAAGGCTGAGGCGGCGAACGCTGAACAGCTGCGGCGCGAGAAGCAAGAGCTGCAGGAACGCGTCAATGTCATACTCGAGGAGATCACAACCATGCAGACCCATGTGCAGGAAGTGCAGGCTGCACAGACGCAACTCGAGAGCGAAAAGCAGCAACTGGAAACACACATTGAGGCACTGCAGCAGCAGCAGCAGGACCGCGATACGCAGGGTGAGCAGTCGTCGGCTAGGCTTGAGGAGATTGAGCGTGAGAATAGCAAACTGGCCGAGCACAACTGTCTGCTGCAGGAGCAAAACAATCACTTGCAGAAACAGCAGGACGAGCTCAACAGGTTGCAGAACAAATTGCAGCAGGTGCTCGATGAGCATTCCAAGCTGCAAAATGCGCAGGAGATTATGGAGCATGATCATCGCACGCTGCAGGACAAATGCGATGCCTATGAAAAGGAAAATCTCAACGCAAAGGATGAGCTTAAATGCCTGCAGCAAGAAAAGGATGCCTTGGAGTCGCAAAGAAATAGCTTGCAGCTGGACTTGGATCAAGCACAGCAGCAGCTGTCGGAGATGCGCGAGCGACAACGCGAACTGGAGCAGCACCTGGCAGAGCAGACGCAACGCTGCTCTGAGCTGGAGGCCAGCAATGAGCAGGTGGCCACCCTGCAGGCAACCGTCCACAATTTACGTGAGCAGCTGGACTCATTCAAAGAGACCGAACAGGCCATGCTCGAAAAAGCTCAGGCTGCCAGCGTTAACCATGCAGCGCAGCTGGAAACACTGGAGGCACGCTGGAGTGCCGCCAATGGGGATGTGCAGCGACTGCACGAGGCGAACGATGCACTGCAGCGAGAAATCGAGACACTGAAGAACTCTACGCATGAGAAGTCCGCATACGAACAGCTACAAATTGAAAACGAATACCTAAACAAGCACACCAAACAACTGGAAATGGAACTATCGCAGGCATTGACCTCGCACGGCGACAGCGGCGTGAAACTGAAGTCGCTGCAGTGTGAGCTGTACGTGCTGCAGGAGCAGGTCTTGCAGCATGCCAGCCAGCTTGCCGAGAAGGACTCTGACGCGACCGCAGCCAAGGCGGAGGCGGCGCAACTAAAGTCGGCGCTGGAGGAGCAAACACTAGAGTTGACTCGCCAGGCGGAGCATGCCAGATTTGTCAGCGATCAAAACGATACGGTGCAAAAGGAGCTGTTGCAGTCACAGCAACAGCTACAGGAACGTCAAGCTGAGCTGTCGAAAGCGCAAGAGCGCTGTCTCAGCCTTGAGGAACAACTGAACAAGCAGCAAAGTGAGCAGGATAAGGAACAGGCGCAGCCAGCAGCAGCACTGTCCAACGATTCCGAGCATTTGCGCAGTCTCAACGAACAGCTGCAACGCGAGCTGGAGGATCTGAAGCATAAAAGCAATGGGCAGCAGACAAATCTGCAGCAGGAAATCGATGAGTTGCAGGCCAACAACAAAGAAATGACGGAACGCATCACGGAACTGGAAACGTTACGTGCCGGCATACAGGCACAACAGCTGCTGGCCAGCCTGGCGCCGAAAAGCGTCCAGCAGGCAGCTGCCAACGATGAAAAGGCCCAGCTGGAGTCAAAACTGAAAGACATAATGAACGAGGTGCAGGATGTGACCAATCGAAACCTGTTTCTCGAACAAAAGTGCGAAAACTTTCTCATACTTGAGCAATCCAATGAACGTCTGAAGCTGCAAAACGCAAAACTATCGCGGCAATTGGATGAAACACTGGTAAGTGCCCAATTCCAACGATCATTTCCAAATGCTAAACCGCTTTTTCACGTCTTGCAGGTATCCATGCAGCATAGCGACAGCGTGCCAGCTAACACGGAATTCGAGTATCTGCGCAACATCATGTTCCAGGTAGGCAGCGACATGGTGCACATACGAACAATGGCTAAATCGCCTTAAAGGGTTGTAGGCTGTCTACCTATCTGATGTCGATAAGATTTGGCTCATGTGGTAAAACTGGTAAATGCCCAGTTTGGTCAGGTTATCTTAAACAGACGGACAGACAGACAGACTTGTCTACATCGACTTAGCTATTGACACTAATGAAGAATATATTAACTCAATGGGGTCGCAGATGTCTCCGTGTTTGTGTTACACATTTCATGACAAAATCATAAGAGCTTCTATAAGTGTATAGTAGTGGGTATGGCATAGGTATACATATATATAAATTGTTAGATTTTTGGTATATACTTAAATGCCCCCTTCTTTGTCTTAAAATTGTGTAACGATCGGACAACGATGGAGAACTGAGGAAAGAAGAAAATATGCATATTTCCTAATCGGGCAATTGCGACTGTTTAAATTTAACAGTTTGTTAATTAATCTTTATATATTTGTAGTATGTAACACTTTGTTAATTAATCTTTCTATATTTTCAGTATTTGACTGGCAATACAAACAACGAAACTCTGGTTAAAGTCATATCGGCAGTGCTAAAATTTTCGCCCCAGCAGGCACAGGTTGCCCTCGAAAAGGAGCACCAGCGGCGCTCATTAGTATGTATACGAGAAATAAAATTTAATTTAATAACCTTCTTATATATTTTTCTAATTTCAGCTAAACAAACTGATCTAGCAAGAACTGTTGGTACTCTACGGAAGCAGCAGCAGCTGGTGGCAGCCGTGCAATGAAACGCTTCTAGACTACTAAAAATCAGAGCTGAACCGTTTAGCCCAAGTTCACAAGTACCTTACCTCAACTTAGCCACAAGTTGTTGCTCACCGCTGCATAAAGGCATTTCGACTTGAGGGCGTTGTTAATAATACTTATATATCATACTGCAATATATATGGACATACTTACATATGTGTAGCCCATTGTACAGTCGGGAAACTATAGCAAAAATAACCGCTCTATTTTGTACATTTGACAACTATGCTAAAATTTCTGTGCTGCTCATTTAACACCAACTCCACGCTTTTTCCATTTAACGTGCAATCATTTCTACATTTAATGTGTGTATTCCTTGCTAATTCGATGTTCATTTTAGCTGTAAGTGAAAAATTGTAAAGATATCAATTGCAGTTAGCATTTAGTTTAATTCAAAATAATATATATAAATATATACATAAATAAATAGTTACAATTCATACAATTTACCAACTCGAAATTCGGAAACCATCCTCACTACTGATACAGCAGATACTGCTGCCGGCGTTCAGCAAAGCTGCGCAGCATGGCACGTGTCAGAGATGTTAACTGATAGCTCGGCCTATAGCCCTGCAGGGCGTCCAGAGCAAATCCGTAGCCGAAGCGCTGTGTGCGCAATATGGCTTGGACGGCTGCTTGCTGGACAAGGGGTCGCGGCACCGCTACGAGTATTCGCTTGAAGAGCGTTATGTAGCCAGCGATATCAGATTTGCCATCCAGCGGCAGCTGTTTGACAATCATTGAGATGCACTGCAGCAAGCATTCCAGCCGCGCATCGTACTCCTCGCTTTGGACGCATAGATCACAGTAGCTGTTGGCCAACGGCAGCAGATGTTCCGCCAGCACATTGCTTACATTCAGATAAGCGCTTCGCCTGCAAAACAGCGCAAAGGCGTAGCTAAGCTGATGGGCGCGGCCAGCTTTTATTTTCTCCACCAGATTCTCGATCACCTGCTGCTTGGTGGGCTCAAAGGGCTGAAAGTGATATTCAAAGCGTAGCTTGGAGATTAGCGCCCGATCGGTGCCATGCGGATCAGTGACATTGTACTGATGGCTCATCAGCAGATGCTTGATGACCGTAATCAATGGATCCGCATGATCATAATCTCGTTCCTCTCGATGCGGCAGCACGGTGGGAAAATGGCATAGCACCTCCAGTACCAGTTGCGTCATCTGCTTGCTATAATGGTAGAGTATTTTGGCTAGCAATAGGCGCGCGGGATTAACATAACTCTCGACGGGACTCGCTAGGCTTGCCTGCAGTCCAATCAACTGCAAATAGAGTTTCACAAATTTGATTGCCACCTGCTCTGTGAGTCGCTCCTTCAGGCTAAATAAACGCTGCTCCAACGTGTTCATAAATCGCTCGATAAACGTGCAGCTCTGGCAATCCAACTGCCTAATCACAGTCAGCAGACGCTCCAGGGCGCTGCCATCAGCAGCTTCCAGCTGCAGTTCTCCATATGCCGTTATCAGCACGTTGATAAGCACATGGGAATCGGCTGTTGCCAGCTGAACGGAGCTCCAATCCAGCTGCCCCGAGTGCTTTAAGTAATCCACAATTTTTGGTTGTAGTTGCTCCATTTGTTTCTTGTTTGGCTTCTGCTTGCGATGTCCACGCTGTTTGGCATTGGCTTTGACAGCGTTCACCAGGAAACATAGCAACGCCTTTGGCACACTCGCGCTGTGCTCCCCGCCGGGCGTCTCTAGCGGAATTTCGATGGGCTCGCTGTCAATCTGCTCGCAGCCAACCGGCGACATGGGCGAATAAGCATCTATGCAGCTGGGCTGCGTTTCACTTGTGACTTTGATCGATTCCTGGTTATCTGCTTCAAGCAACAGCTGCTTGGCTTGGAGTCGCGTAAGACGCTTCTCAACCGGCTGCGACTCGGATGTGCTGCGCGTGCTTGAGTTCCGCTTGCGTTTGCCAGCAGGCATGCTCACAGGCAGCTGCTCAAGAGCATTTTCAAGTTTCATTTCTTCATTGTGTTGATCGGAATCGCTGTGCAGATCATTATAATTGATATCTAAACGCATGTTCGTGCTGTCCGCATCCGAGTCGGTTGTTTCTTCAGGAGGCGTTGTCGCAGTCAGCTTATCTATATCATTAGGAAGCTCAATATCTTCATCGTGGGGATCCGATCCCCTGGACAGATAACCATCATTAATGACTAAAGGCCTGTCCATGCTGTCTGTATCCGAATCGTTTGCTTCTTCACTTGACGCCGATGGAAACTCGGATGTGCTGCCCTTGCTTGATTTTCGACTTCGTTTGACAACGCGCATCCGCATATGCGACTGCTCTACATTTGGCAGTTTTATTTGATCATTGTGGTAATCGGAGTTGAATTGAATGTCACCATCTTCTTCACTTGTGGCTGGCCTAGACTCGGAACTGATACAAGAGTTTCCTTTTTGCATGGATTCGCTAAAAGGCAACGTCTCTATAAACTTATCTACTTTATTGTGGTCATCGGAGTTGCTGCGAAGATCCGCATCATTGATGATTAAGTTGCTATTCGTGCTGCCCGTATCGGAGTCAGTGGCTTCACTTGACTCGGATGTGCTGCGCTTGTCGACTTTTCGCCTGCTAATACCAGCTGGCCGTGGTACAGTGAGACTCCTTGCGGCATTTGGAATTATTACATTTACGCTGTGAATACCATCATTGGTAGCCAAGATACTGTCCATGCTATCCGTATTCGAATCGTTTAATTTTTCATTTGATGACGGCTGCGACTCGGATTCGCTACGTTCGCTTGTTTTTCGCATGCGTTTGCCAGCAGGCGGCTGCTTTACAATTGCCAGTTTTATATCTTCCTCGTGGTGTTTGTAGTCGTTGCAAGGCTTCTCATTGAGGACTGAACGTTTATCGACGCTGACCACATCAGAATCCGCTGCTTCTTCGCTTGTTGTCTGTGGCTGTGACTCGCAGCTGATAGAGGAGCTTACTTTTTCGCTTTGTGCCGACTGTGATTCACATGTGCCGGGGTCGCTTGCTGTTTGATTGGTTAACGCCGTCGGCAATCCCTCTGCAGCTTTTGGTAGTACTATATCGACGACTAGATTTTTGGAGTCTATGCCGTGCGTAAAAAAATCGTTTGATGCTTCACTCGCTGCTTTCCCCTGCTGACATGCTTGTTCAGCTTTATTTTGGTGTGCTTCTCCATCTTCCGAATCCGAATCACTGCCGAATAAGGACCACAATTGCGCTTTGCTGCTTTGATCTCCGAGCGCAGCCTGCTCACAATCGACATTTGTGACTGGCGACTGTGGATTATCCCCTTCTGCACTGTAATTTTGTGACGACTGATGCTCCTCTGCAGCCAGTTGCCTGTCCAGTCTATCGGGCGACTGTGCTGCAGGGCTTTGTGAGGCAAACTCCTCAAAAACAACAGGTGTGTCCGGCGTCTGCTGATTGTTTGCTGTTACAGCTGGCAATCGCAGCCATTGACGCTCCTCTGCATTCAATTGAATGTGCAGATTATCACAGTTGATGTTATGGAAAGCATTTAAATTGCTTAGGAAGTCTACCGCAGTTTCTGTGGGTGAAATGGGCTTTGCAATTGCCTCCGGCTGCGGTTGCGGATTTGGTCGTGGGTATGGTGTAGCGCGTCGGTTTTGCCTCTTTGGCTTGGTTTTGCGCTTCGGCCTTGCCCGGAACTGAGGCTTGATCGGCAGACGTATCGGCGTCAGGTCTACGCCAATTTCCGGTGGCGGCTCTATTATGGAATCGATGCAAACATCAAGCGGCGCTCGCTGCTCGGCCTCTGCCAGAAAATCGGGGGGTTCTGCAATCAAGTTGTTCAGTTGGTCTCCAAGTGAATTCAATGTTAAGGGCTTACCCCTGTGGCTGCCTTTGCTGCTACATGCCACATTCTGCGCCTGATGGGTTTCGTATAGCGTATCAAACCAGCTGCGAAAATCTGCTTGGCTAATGGAGCTCGCGGAGCGACTCTGCAGGGCAACGAGCACCATTTGGCCCATCACTTGCCAGACCTCCTCAAAGACTTGGGGCGGCATTTTAGCGAGAACGCTTTGATTATGCGGCAGAAAGCTAAGCAGCTCCTTGGCCATGTGGTGGCTATTGCCATCAAGCGCAGCCGCATCCGCAGGCATCGCTAGCTCATCCTTGACGCTGTCGTACATGGCACGCGACGGGGGCCGGGAGTCAGAGCGCTTCAGTTGTGCTGGCAGCTGTGGCAGAAAGTCAATCTCGCGCTGCACATTGCACAGATCAGTGCAGGTGCCCACACTGTTTGTGGTCAACGTTTCGGCTGCCGGTGTTTGATCCACGATGGGGCTGAGCGGTGTTATTGTCCAGGAGAGAACCTTATCCAATATTTGATGAGCATTCAGGGCGGGCTTAGGCTCTGGAAAGCACGTGCCCACATCATGCATTTGGATGAACGAGGCCGTCGTCGTTCCGCGCGTTGTTGTTGTGTTTTTGTGCTGTATGCCCTGATCCCGAGTGGTCACGAAACTCTCACTTTGTATGGCTATCGAGCACATTTCTGGCTTGGTGGGTGCAGGCGGCGTTGGTAAGTCCGGCAGCGGCTGCGTTTGTGTGGCTTGCGTTGCAGCTGCTACCCCCTTTGATCGCTTTTTCGTGGGGCTCTTTGGTGAGGGTATAGAAATATTCGCTGACTTGCAGTAGTCCTTCAGCTTTCGCAACACATTATGCTCGGCGCGGGTTAGACCGCTGGCGTGAGGATCGCCGACAATGCGCTGTGTCAACTGCATGAAAATAATGATCATTTCTTTGGCATCAACTGGCAGCCACTTGGTCTTTAGCTCTTCCTGCAAGTGCTCACAGTTTAACTTCTGAACATCCAACTGCTTCTCCAGATCGACGCAGCGCTCGCTGTGCTCAAGTGCACGGCGCTCGAGCTCGATGCGTTGCTGTTTCTCCCGCTGGTATAGTTCGGTTACCTCGCTCGCGGTTCGCTGCATGCCACAAAGCTGCTGCTGTTGTTCCTGCAGCTCCTTCACCTGGCGCACCAGCTCATCGTTGTTAGCAATCAGGTCGGCGACTCGTAGGCGCTTTTTCGCTTTTTTTCCATTGATGGGAAAGCTACTGTTGATTTCATTTCGCGACAGTTCTTGCGGTGTGTTTAACAGAAAATCGAACTCCTCAAATCCCAAATTCTCAGGCATGGTCGTATTCAGTTTTGTTGTTTTTGGTTTCACGTGTTTTTCTGTGAGCGGCAAACGTTTACTTTCTATGGCAGGGCGCGTGCTGCTTACCGAACAAACGCAATTATATTAAAACGAGTTGGATGCATATTAAATACGGCAGTGCCATGAGCAATCATTCTAGCAATACGCTCTGGTCATAAATGTTAAAATTATTAGCAAAAACAACATAAAATTAGCGCGTTTCACGACCGGCAAGGAACTAACAACATTAACACTGTGAATGGCAAAGAGTGTGACCGTAGCAAATACATATTTTTGGACTAATTGACGTTAAAGTAAGAAAACTAAGTAGTCATTATAGTTAAAATATATATATAAATACTCTAAGGCAACACAATACAATTTGAACTGTTACAGTAAACATATCAAGAGTAAATCATATATTTTTCTCATAAATTTTGGATTGTTTATTACCTTCAAAAGAGCACAAGTTGACAGTCCCCAGAATTTGCAGCCAACTTCACGTTTTTTTCAGGGCTGCTGTAGCACATTAAAATATTGTGGTATTCTCTACGTCTTGCGAAGGTACGTAACTGCGGCATTCGGAACGAAAATTACATAATTTTTCATATTTTTCAATTTAATTAAATGCACAGTAACCAAATCACAACCATGGCCGACAAAGTTGCAGCTGAAAAACCCGTTGGACGTCCAATGAAATATCCATACACTTTCTCGGCTAAATTGGCCCAGTTCCCAATCAAGCATTATATTAAGAATCAGTGGATCTGGCGCTATTACTTCATTTCAGTGGTTGCTTGCATACCTGTCTTCTACAAGATCAGCAAGTTGGGTAAGTGACCATCTTAAGAATCTTGGATAGGTTTGCACGTGTTGCTAAACTTTGTTTTTATTGCAGCCAACTCGCCCGAAAACAAGAAGGCCTGGGCTGAAAGCCAAGCGAAGGAGGCTGCCGAGCACCATTGATTTGCTAAGCTATGCGGTGCTGTCATTGATTTAGTTGTTTAATGTTGCATCTATATACATTTCAAAGCTGCATCAGTTGGCTTAACATGAATATTGATTGGTGAATAAATGATTTAAAACGGACATGACTTAACATTCATTAAAAAATAGGAAAATATAACCTGCTATTTTGTTGGGCAGACATTCACTTTAATGCGACGTCTTTTTGCCATTCACATTTTGTCGTACAGGGCTGCAATTATTTTTATTTGAAAGACATTTATGACTTAATGTGGCAACGTTTAGCAACCAGCTGGTAGAAAATTGCCATCGTGAGCAAAGTTTGTAAAGTTGTATTACAACAAATTCATTAACAAGGTAAATAAAAATGGATCATCGAAACATAGACCCCTTATTGTAATGTGATTAGGTTCCTTTAACATTAAACTGCCCAAGCTTTTGTCTTTTCAAGCCAACAAAATGGTTATGACGAGCGAACAGGTACATATGTAGCCTCAATAACTTTTGTACAGTTTGAAATATAAGTTGTTTAATTTGGCATGTTTATCTAACAAATCTTACTTGCCCCCAATAATAAACAGTGTCTGCTTTTAACAGAACTCATCGACTTCTGCAGCGAACAAGCAGAAGAAGCAACGGCAACGCAATCGGCCCAGAAACAAACGCAACCGATTGGAAGATAACGAGGCTCAGCCAAGCAGCGACAGTGCAATGCAAAAATCCAACAGTAATCCAGCGGCGGATAAGACCCGCGAGCAGGTGATGGCCGAGCGAGAGGCCAAAAAGCAAGCGAAGCTGGCCAAGAAGCAGAAACCCAACACGCCAGCCACAACAATCATAACACAAGTAGAGCAAACGACAATCACAAAAAAGCTAACGACCACAACAACCACAACGACGAAAGAACAAAACCAACTCCAGCTAGCAGCAGCCGCGCCCGCGCCCGCATTTGATGACACCGTCACAAGTAACGCAGTTCAGGTCACCGCACAAAACTCAACAGATTCCTTAACCAACGCCGCGGGAGCTGGCGAAAAAACGCGCGACCAAATCAAAGCAGAGCGTGAGGCGAAAAAGGCCGCCAAACATGCTGCAAAGTCCAACAAGGCCAACAACGTGGATGATGTGGCTCAGCAATTAAACAACGTACAAATCACTCCCAAGACGGCAGTTACCGAAACTGCTGCAGCGGGAGCATCAGATCAAGACAAGGTAAGCAAATGGATTCCTATTCGATATTTATATATAAAGAAGCTGCTTTAATCAGTTTTACATATACATACGTATGCTGATTATAAAAGCGACCTTTTGCCATTAAGGCTAATGCAACTACAATCTAATACCCGTTGTATTAACTTTTGAATTCTTCATAACCAGACAATCGTATCACTATTCACTTAATACATACAAAGTTGCTGCCAACTTTAATTAAAGCTTTCGATCCCAATTGATTTGCAGAAAAAACCAGCGCTAAGCAAGGCGGAGCGTCGTGCGATACAGGAGGCGCAACGCGCGGCCAAGGTGCAGGGACAAAACAAAAAAGCGACACCAACGACGCCCGGTGCAGCTAAAGCCGCGGCAAAGAGCGTTAAGGCGACGCCTGTTGTCAGTGCTACGCCCGTTAAGGAGCAAAAACGAGAGAGTGAATCACCCGCCAAGTCGCCATCAAAGCCAACAACGCACAAAGCAGAACGAGAGTGGAATGTGAAGCTGTTCAATCATTTGGTGAGCGCTGACAAAGACGCTAGCTTATTCATAAACGATGCCAGTGTGCATCCCAGCATTGCTCGGCTGGGTGTGCAGTATGCCCAGCGTACTATTGTTGGCTCCAATGCGCGCTGCATCGCTTTCCTGCATGCGCTGCGACAGGTGGTGCAGGACTTTGAGACGCCCGCGAAGAAGGAGTTTGGACGCAGTCTCGATGCGGCAGTCAAACATCATGTCGAACATCTGCACAAGTGCCGACCTCTGGCCGTGTCCGTATCCAATGCCTATAAGCAGTTCAAGAACCAGTTGACGCAGCTGCCGGACACACCGGAAACCGAGGTAAGCAGCTTGACAAAACTTCCAAGCACAGCCAATTGCATTTGTTTTTTATTGTAGTTAAAGGAGCTGCTCGGACACTTTATAGACACCTACATAGAGAATCAGATTGGCAAGGCTGCGCAGGCCATCAGCAGCTCGATGCAGGAGAAGATTACAGACGGCGATGTGCTGCTCACTTTTGCCTGTTCCTCGCTCATACAGTTTATCTGCGAGGAGGCCCAACGTCGCCAAGTGTCCTTTCGTGTTATTGTTGTAGATTCGTGGCCTTTTTGTGAGGGACAGGAGATGCTGCGCCGACTTCACGCCTGCGGCATACCCTGCACCTATGTGCTGATCAACGCCATCAGCTATGTAATGCCGGAGGCCACCAAAGTGATGCTGGGAGCGCATGCACTGCTAGCCAATGGATATGTTATGGCTCGAACGGGCACAGCCCAAGTGGCGCTCGTAGCTAACTCCCATAATGTTCCCGTGCTAGTCTGCTGTGAGACGCACAAGTTCAGTGAGCGTTTCCAAACTGATGCTATTGTCTATAACGAGCTGTGCGATCCCAATCAACTGGTGAAGAATGGCAAATGTTGTCTCCATAACTGGCAAACAAAGAACCGGCTAACGCCGCTCAATCTGAGCTACGATATAACGCCTCCCGAACTGGTCAGTGCCGTTGTCACCGAGGTGGCCATTCTGCCCTGCACCAGCGTGCCCGTCATTCTGCGTATTAAACCAGATATTGGCTATTAGAGCTCAACATCTTGTTGCTATCTTTTCCATGGAGTCGACAAAAGAATTGTATAATTTATTGAGAAATTAAAATCCGTGTCTCGAGTCAGTGCGGCATTTGTTGAATAAATAATCCTTTTTATTATACTTTTGATCTAACATTTTTGCATAGTACCATTTACGGCTTGTAAAGCAGATAAATTGTCTGACAGCTTGTGTAGTACACTTTACGATAGTTTTCTTTAATATTTTTTAACTGTATCCATGCAATTGTATGCTAATATGTTTAAGTATACATATGTATGTATTAATATGTAAGCAATTGTACTTCTTATTTGTGTGAGATAAATGAGGCAAGAACAGACCGATCCGAATTTCGTACATTTTCTCAAAGTAAAATGAGCAGAAATATTTGAGCCTGTTGAAAATACGTTGATAGTTCAAACTCTTAAAGAACAAATTTGGATGTGGAATGCTGTCTGAATAGAGATTCTGTAACATTAAGATATAGTTTTTGTTTTTGTTAGTCGTACTTAAAAAAAAGTGTAATACATAAATGCCAGTCAAGGCTGCAGATTGTGTCAATCCCTTTGAAATACGAATTATATTTGGGAATTCCCATTTTTGGAACAGGTCTGACACTTAGAAATTTCAAAATCAACAACATAAAATAGTTTTGTGCCCGACTAGGGCACATTTTTGGTGCACGGCTAGTTTAGAATGTTTTTTTGATTTGCGCGCGTCGAAGGTGCTTTTAAGTAGCTACAACTACAAATGCAACAATAAATATATTATAATAATATGTATATATATGTATATCTGTGTTAGTATGTGTATATGTATTTTATGCCACAAAAACGCACCCGAAACAAACACGTCCACTCTCTCGCACGCTGTCCACATTCACTCCACGTCACATGCTCAACAATTTATAACTAGGATTATGCTAGAATTGGGCTTATGGACTCTGCTTTTGCATCTGTCGGTAGCAGCCACGACAAACGGGCACCGCCTTGCCGCTATCGTGTCCAGGCAATGCCGCGTTCTTATCAATGCAACGCTCACAGAAGATCTCGCCACAACGCCAGCAATGTGTCTGCGAATTGGAAAGCACGTAAATTGAATGAACTTTTGTTGCTGCTGTTGGTGCCACTCACCTTCTTGCTGAACTGATCGAAGGGCGTGGAGCAGGAACAGGTGGTTACGTTTCGCATGGACTTCCAATCCAGTGCCACGGAAGAGATTTCCTCGGTCAAAGTCTGGGGGCTCGCCTGTTCGGCATTTAACGAGAGATTGGCAAATGACATGTTGCTCGCCTTCAGCGGATGATCATCATCAGCGGCGGACAATTCGCTTAGCTTCTTGTCATAATTGTATCTGAAAGGCATAATTAAGACGATTAGGCATTAAAGGAAATACAAGATTCAATGTTTCTGGCTACTTGTTGTCATTGATCTCGTTGGTGGTCGCCTCCTTGCTAGCTTTTGTGGTGGTTGTGGTGGTGGCATCCTGCAGCTTCTTGGCCGACTTGGAAATGTAGTTTTTGAAACTGGCAATGCGTTTCGTCAAGTGCTGCACATGATCCTCCAGGGAGTTGCAGTGCTCCTTGCTGTCCAGCAGCAAATCACCCAATGGCTCGCGTGGGTGTATGCCGCTCTCGAAGCGGCTGTACATGCCACGCCAGAATCTATGGAACACACAAAATAAGTATTTTTTTAGGCTTCAATCAATTGAAGGCTCTCTTACTTGATGCACTGTGGCGCCAGGTTGGCTTTGATCGACTCGTCTATGTTGGGTTTGTACAGCGGATTTATGTACTCGTTCAGATGGTTGGCCATGTAGCCCCATAGCGAGAATGTGCGTTCGGCTAGCTTCAGGTCCAGGCGATCCTTCTCGCAGTTGCCCACAAAAGTGCCGAACTGACACGAGTGCACATGGTCGTGGAGTATGAGCAGAAAGCGCTCATTGAATTCAAAGGACTCGCTGCGCTGCGACATCAGCTGCCAGGTGCAGTCCAGGAACTGCGTAAAGATGGGCGACACCTCGCGCGCATCCGTCTGTATGTGGCCGCAGCGTTCGCTGAACTTGTGCCCAAACGCCAGCCAGTCCTTCTCGATGAGCGCCTGAAAGCCCTTAATTGTGCGATAGTAAGGATTTAACATGAGCTGCGCCAGCGAGCAAACTTGAGCAGTGCGATCCCAGCCATCCGAGCAGTGTACAACCACGGAGACGCCCTTGTCGACGGCGTTGGCAATGAAGCTGCAAAGGAAAATTAACAGAATTATTCATAATGAACGTTAATTAATTGAATAAATAATAAGTGAAAGCATGTCCTAATAAAGGTCTCTTGAGTATATGTAATATTTTTACTGTGGGTTAATGTGCCTTACCGGCAGACACACAAAGGGAAGGTCGCCGGTTCAAAGTCAGCAATAATAAAAATACATATGTTCTGTGGGCCCGCAAAAGCACACTCTCTTATCGAGTGCTTAGCGGGCACAGCGAAAGATGGTGTCCTGCCCTAGGCTATATTAAATTGTTGATTGTTTACTTACCTCGACGTGTCCAATATGGAGCGAATGTGTTTCAGCCAGCCGGATGACTCTAGGGCATTCAGAAATGCGCTCATTGTGGGTGATTTCTGTTCGCATGCCTCCAGTACCTTTTGTAGGCTGGCGCGCTGTACGTGAATGTTCTCAATGCCAAGGAAATGGAACTTGATGTTCTCGTAGAAGGCCTCGTTCTCATAGCCTTTGCCGGCGGCACGATTGGCCATGGCATTAATCTATAAACAAGAGGGGTCACAATCGGCTTGTTATTTGCATATTGTTTTATATGCATTAGTTGTACTTACGCGCGGTCGCGTATCGACAACGAACATGTAATCGGTATTGGGATTGGTTTTGCGTATGGCCTCCAGCATTTGCTCGTCCTCGAGACAACGGGCACTGAAGCCCGACAATGGCTGACTGCAGCGGCATATGGACGCCTGTTGATATTAGGGATTGCATATTTATTAACATAGCTCCAGATGAGATTCGCAAGATTTTCAGTTACCTTATTGTTGTGCAAATAGGTCAATGCGGGCAGGCGACCCTTGGAGCGAAAACGTGAGCTGCTTATGAGCATCAATGTGGTGGCCTCCTTGGGCACATAGATCTGGCGCGGATACGTGTCGCACAGCTCGTACTTTTCGTTCATGGAGCACAGCGTCCAGTTGTCGTTGGGCACCAGCAAGTGCTTAAACTCTGCCTCCAATTTGAAAAAGTCCCAGCCAGCATTTTTGGGGTAATCATCCTTGGCCGGCTGATAGTTGAAGCAGTACAACTTGTTGATGGAGACTACGAGATAAGAATTAATAAGAGGACACATCAAATCAAACTAATGTGGTGCTGCTTACCCGGCTGAAAGAGTTTGATTAGCGAGGTATAGACATCATGGCACTCGGAGTCCTTGGGTATGACAAATGTCACCGACAGAAAGGTTTTGCAGCGTATCAAGAGCGGCGACCCGGTTGTGCTTAGCGGCAGCTTCTCAATGCTGGCAATGTGCATGTGCAGAATCTGTAATGAGCAATGGCAATGGCAAAGGCAAGATAGTTAATAAACCGTCACTCAATAGACAATCTCCACACTCTAATCACTCAACTTTGAGCGGCAGCCAGTTAATACCCTATTTGCCCGCAGGTCAGGCACTAAAACTTTTATAAAGTGTCGCTCCGTCTCTGCACGAGCCAGAAAATCGATATTTAAAACCTTCTCAGCTCATAATTGGCAGCTCGCAACTCGCAGCTCACGAGTGCCCTAACTTTTAATTACGAACATGAAAGACTCAACGTGACGTTAATATGCTCATTTGCTGGGTTCTCCTGCGGCCACTTGTCGCGCCGTTGCAAAGTGCATAATTGATATAATTATGGTGAGGCAATTAAAATCGCAGTGCCCGAATGCACACAGAAACCCAAGCCGAAACAAATCAAACAGTAATTAGTAGGAAAATAAAACATGTATTAAATAGCTGCGTAACTTAAATATGCACATATTCTGCGTTGGTTTTGCATACAAATTGGATCATAATGAAGCACAGTTAAGCAGCTCTGCAGCTCATTGCAATAGAGAATGCCACATGTTGGATTTTTTTGTTCACTTATACGTATATGCATATTAAGGAATATATATATATATACAATTTATATGTTTATGTATATATATTGTATTTATGTATATTTACTTATGGTTATTTATATTGACTGTATATTCAACACATTTAAGTATTCACGTAATCTTTCTCTTAACCCAAGACGGAACTTGGAAAAAATCCACATACAAGGGTGGAAAATGAGTGGATAGCTACTGTATGCAACATTTTTTTAAACACCATTGTAAACTCTTTATACTGATTTTTTTCCGTTAAGCTTTTGTTTTTTAAATCATCTTTTCAATCTTTAAGACTCTCACTTAATACTAATTGTCTACAGGTGTGGAAAACTACAAGTGTACAAAATTAAAGGGGAACATTTCTAGAATTGTATAATTATCTTTAAAAGTGCAATTTGTTTGAACTTTAAAATATTATTATATATATTTAATACTTTTTATTATCTAATGCGTTTAAATGCCTTTTATGTAAACTGGTAAACTTTGCATTTGATAAAATTTTAATATAGTTTTGAAAGTTTGCATATTTGTGCTGCACACATTCAAAGTTTACACGCATAAAGTCACAGACTCGACTCTTCTCCGTATCCTTTTGTCACTGGGACAGCTAGTTTTGTATGAATGGAAATGGAATTGCAGTCGCTTAGCAACAATTTGTTTGCTTCTGTCAGTCGATCAGTTAGGCAATCAGTCAGTCAGTCAGTCAGTCAGTCAGTCAGTCAGTCAATCAGTCCGTTAGTCCCCAAGCACATTTGGAATATTGGCAGTGAATTTGTATTGCTTTTTCAATGTTTCTCTTGCGCTTTGTGGGGGTTTTCTGTTGTTCTTGTATTTGCTATGGCTTAACACGAAATGAATGCATGTTTTGTGCTGAAAATAATGTACGCCAACACAAACAAACACAGCGGCGCACAGCGGGCACGCCGACAGCGTATTTTAATTTGTATTTATGCAATGGGGCGTATGCGCAATTTGCGTGCACTTGTGTGTGTATTTGTGTGTGGGTGGGCCTACTTCTGTTAACCGAAACAAAGACAAACACATTTTAATTAAACTTATGCACTGTCGGCTCTTAAAGCCGACAAAAACTTTAACAGGCACAAGTTTTAAGCGCTGTGCGGTTTCGCAGCCTTGGGGGCACCTGCTAGGAAAAGAAACTTTACACGCACACTTTTTAAGCCAAGTGGCCGGAAGTGCGGCCAATGCAGCTGTCAGAGAGGCTCACACACACACACACACACACACACACATACACACACTCGCATGTACATGATATGCGTAGGCGTATGTGTATTTGCAGAAGTACAAGCACTTTTTGTATTATGACGAATGCCAGGCCCAGGCAGCCTTTAAGCTGCCAAGTTTCTGCTTCTGCTCCAATGTTTAACGAGCGAGGTCAAAAGGTTGGACGCCAAGTGCAGATTTAAACACGTTCGTCGTTTCTGACGTTAGCTGCTTGTGTGTTGGACACTTTTTTCATATATATATTTTTGATCAGCTCTGGTAATTTTTCTTTTTGGTTTTAAGTTAATTCAAAGGTTTTTGGCTACACGAAAAGAATATTATTTGCTCTTCCATGAAAGTTGTTTGCATATGAAACAAAAAACAGAGTATAATAAAAGTTATACAGGTTGAAGGTATATGTTAAAAATGAAATATTAAAAAAGTTCGGAATACAAGTTGCAGTACAAATGCAAAAAAGTTATGCACAAAATAAAAGTATTGGAATAATCCTTTCCTTTAAAATCCTTCTTTATTTAATTTTTGCGTACCAGATTAGGGCTAGGGCAAAAATGAACTGGGAACTGAATTATTCCAGGATGTCAGTCCAACCTCTATTTTATGAATTATTTAAGAGTCAAGTAGCTAGTTGCAATTACTTTTATATTCTCAATAAAATGTCTGCATGCAATTCATAAATAAATCATAATTTGGGGTACTTTCAATAGGGGTAAGAAATACAATATTGTTGCCTTTTCAATATTAAAAATGAATAAATTCATAACGTCATGATTTATGTGGTATTCAGAAGGGAAAGCAACATGTTTGCGGCATGCTTCAACAACAACAACAGAAAGAAACGGGGCATGCCTCTGCGGTCTACTATATTTCCGTAACATACTTTTGCGTTTAGTCGACGACAGGCACACACAGACAGAAAGGAGGCGTGGCTATCGCCCGAAAATCAACCCAGCAAAAGGTTGTTTGCAAAGAAATTGCACAAAACTTTTTGCTTGAACTTGACGAGGTCCACAAAGAACTTGAGGCGCACTCGAACCGGGTAGCTCATCGAATAATTGATGATGTCATAGGGGGGGTGGGGGAGTGCTTGCGGTATTTCCACTTACCCAGGTCTCCTTATTGCTGTCGGGCTCCACGAATATCAGATGCGTGGCCGTCAGATACAAAGTGCCAACTGTAGGATTTTTAGTGTTGTAGCGATCAATCATGCGCACATTTTCCACCTGTAAAATAAAGCGCAAGAAAAGTATTAATTTTACTAGCACTAGAAGGTATAAGCTCTTCAACAAATATTTTCTATATATATTTTGTGCAATAAATTTCCAGCTCCTTTGGCTCCCTTTAGCTGCTTCTGTGCAGAACTCGCTCGCTGACGTCAGCTGCAAAAGCGCCCCACAATTTGCACTATACCGTTGCACTCACACAAACAAACCCAAACACCCACGCATTCACACACACACACAAGCGAAAGGAAGCCCAAAACTGTGTAAATAGTATAAAATGGGGAAAGCAATTTTATTGTCTCACTGTTGAGAGCAAAAGTTCGCCTTGAAAAATATAGACTTGAGCGTGTAGTTGAATTGAGCTAGGCTTTAACTTTTTACTACAACATAATACATAATATTCATGTTAGGCAAACTGGTATAAAATAATAGATTCATTACGCTTTATAACTTGCTAGCTTTGCTTACCTTGTTTTCACAAGCTCTCTTTTTATGTAAATATTTATTTATTCTTAGTAAAAATAATAACCGAAAATATTTTAAACAGTTTTTAACATCCCTGTCTCATGATTATAAATTGAGAAAGGCCTTAAATGGCTTTCGCGTTGCCAGATCTTAAAAAAAATACACTTTTTCTATAAGAATTGCGGTAACACTCTTCTTAATATTTAAAAAATGTGCATGTTGATGGTATCTCAGGATGCTTGTATTTAATCACAACAACAACAGAAGAATACAAGTCAGCAAACTATGTGCATACAAAAACTGTAAACTGAAAGGCAAATCACAATTTCTATAAACAATATTCTTTATTCCTTATACATTCCGTATTCTATAGCAAATGCAATCCAGCCCCATATTGAATTGTAAATAAGAGAGGAGACAAATTGAATAGCCGAGATTTGTGTGTGACACTAACTGAATTTCCCCAGTGAAAGAGTAAACGCAAAGCACAAATAAATGCAACATCTGCGTCGACTTTTAGATTGATTACAATTCAAAGCAATATACTGGCTATAATCGACTACACTATTCAATTTGCGAGTTGACCGCAATGTCGCCGTTTCACTGCATAGGAATAAGTCCATTAGAATGAATCGAATACAACGAACAAGGCTGACTCAGGTGAGTTTCTCTATTATATAAATGCGTTAGGCTGCCATTTTCTTTGTGCTTTGACAGCCATTAAGTTCGCTGTCATCGTTTAATTGGCTTTCTTAATATATATAGTATATATATATACTTGAGGAAAAAAGCTCCTTTAAATTTAAAAAAAAGAACTCATCTTTTTTTTTTTACTTAAAATTTTGTGCAGTGCGTTTTTAAATATTCCCTTTTCAAAATAAGAAAGGTCCTTGTCCTTAAACAAAATCTTTTATGTTACAAAATAAACAACAAATTGGATTAATTATAAAATTCTTATTACAAGAAGTTGCATACTTGAAACGTTCTTAATAAATTTATGGAATTCCTTATTTGAGTCTTGTGGAAGTTTGGGATTAGAAAAAAAGTTCTTAAAATAAGAATGTCATATTCAGGTTAAGAAATTTCTGCTTTGGACAGCAATTTACTCGATTCGAGCAAAAATGCTTGCCTTTCTCTGCTCAGAACAGCTTTGAAAGGTCGGAAACCGCACTGTGAAATCCTCAAAAGGGATTATTTTACATAAATGTCAGTCTTTTGTGCGCTTCATGCAGCTTGACTAGAATTCCTGCCACTGCACTAAAACCACATTTATTTAATTGCCAAGTCAGGCAGCTGGAATCTTGTGGCACGTGCAACAAGACAACAATTTGTTTTTCAAATTTTCCGACAGGCATTTGCTGCGGTTGAGAATGAATGGAACGCAATGGCCCGAGGATGAGGATGAATGGCACTGGGAGCACCGATGGATAAGGTCCTGATAGGCGACCTACATAACATTTGCCTCCACCTAGCCTGGCCAGTCAAAGAACTTAACGGGTATGCTTGCTTGTAATTTGCATATTCCGGCCGAGAGCTGCCGGCGGCGGCGTTGGCAAGTGAAACAAGGGAAAAAAATTAGCTGGATTTCTCTTGATTACTGTGCTGTGCATATTTGCCTAATGACACAAAGGAAATTAGTTTGGGGCTAGCTGATGGGTTACCTTTTTTAGGACACAGTTGCCGTTGTAGTAAACGGGCGCCTCGGTGAACTCCTCCTCGATCCAGGAGACGACCTTATCGGAGACAAATGGCGGCACTGGCACACCCCACAGCCGCTTGCCATCGGGCGGCTCCTCGCTCTCCGGCGATATATTATCAAAGCTCAGACGCAGCGCCGATGTGGGCGAAAGTTGGCGTTCGATTTCGTTGAATTTATTCATGAATCTTGTAAAATCCATTGTCACACACGCACTACCAAAAAAAATATTTCAGCTACTGTTTGCGCTGGGTGAATCTTTTATTGATTTTAAATCAACAACAAAAACACCAGGAGCAGCCACCCAAGCAGCCTTTTGGCGTGGATTTTAAATCAAATCACGTGAATCGGGGAGAAGGGCGCTGCGTCGTTTATATTACTTTCACTTTTTGCTCAGAACACAAACCCGACTATGCTACTTATTTGTCTAGCCCGACATATTCATTTATGTGTGTTATAAATATATATATGCCACTTTGTTATTGCTGCCACTGCTACTGATACTGCTGCCCCAATGGTCGACTGTCTGTGTGTGTGTGTGTGTATGTGCCGCGCAACGTCCCGACAACCGTTTCCAACGAAAACTCGGTGACGACTGCGAAAGGCGCGCGCTTAAAAGCATGCTACGAGCTCGCTTTTGGACATTCTGTTGGGGAAATTCTTGCGAAAAGGGAAATTTTTAACCAATGCTGGACGCCATCAAATAAACAGGGACTATTTTAATACCCTAGGTTAAGGACACATGAGCATATGAAGGGTGAGTGCATTTTTTACAACAGTTTACTCTTTAATACCCAAGGGCTTTACGCCATTCTAATGTTTAATTATGGTATGTTTGTTATAAGAACAGAAAGCGGAATAAATTGTTTAATCTAATTGGATATAAGAATTACTTCGGTATAAATACTTTGAAATATATGTACATGGATAGGATAGGGTATCGAAGGTGCTAGGGCTCCGATTTTTTCCGGAAATCAATAAATATAACAAGGTAGTAGAAAGTATAGCACCTGCTATTACTCAGCGTTAATTTAAATCGATAGAGATCCCAAAGTATAAGTAAGAAATTTAGTAAGAATGCGCGCAACGGGTATAGGGTATGTTCCAGTCGAGAATCGTTGAACAAGTACGTTTAATGATATTCCCATTATAATTATCGCCAACGTCAATGTTCGACTTTGTTTTGGAAGTTGTAAACTGCACTTAACTCTTTTATAATTGTTAGCAGAGTTATATAAATTTAGAAAGGCCTTTAGAAGTACTGTATTAATAATAGATAAAGTAATCTAAAAATGTGAATTGACCTAACTCTCCTAAAGCATTAATATTTACATCAGGGCTACAAAACCGGTTTGAACCGAACCAAAACAGTTCTCCAAAAGCCGAACCGAACCAGGTTCACGAACCGAACAACAAGGCAACAAGTCAGTTCGAACTTAACCACCATACATTTTATTTGGGGTTTGCAGCCCTGATTTACCTAAATGTTTCAATTAGTTAACACTTAGTTACGTAATATTTGTTTTTTGATAAGTTATGGTCAATACCGCTAGTGCGATTGTTTAATAAAAAGGGCGTTGAGGCCGGCAGACAAACAGTAGCAAGTTCTTAGCAAAGTGCGATAAGGTAGTCGCTATCCCAGTCAAATACATACATATGTACATACGTATATGTAAACATACGTATATACTTACGTTACAAATAAACGTAATTACTTACACTCGTAAAAGGTCGCGTACTTGCCGAACAAAATTGTATAAACATAACTGTTGACTGCAAACGGGGTTTTGTTTGCGACCACACAGTTCCCGCTTATGCGCATGATTTACAGCTATGTTTATGTACATATGTTATGAACAGGTGTAGGCGCCGTTGGCTGGAACGCCACTTGGCCAACGAGACTGTCTCGTCCTTGGCCCCACCTAGCTTGTGGGTGGCGCAAGGGTTGGCGCTGTCCCCTGCCGGGTCATATATGCGCGATTGTTGTTGTTACTTTTTTTTTTTGCACAGGAAGAGGTTTAACCTGGCCATCGATTTTGAATAAAACATAAAAGCTTCCAAGTACATGACTCACAGCTGGCGCCAGGACAGGTTGTCGAAATTGATAAATGGCTTACAACAGGCATATCTATATGCTTAGCAAATTCCGCTATTTATTAAACTACATATTTACATACCTTTGCCAGCTTGATATCGTCCATTGTTTACGTTTTTTGATGGTTTCACTATTAACTGGCTGCTTTAAACACTTTACGGTCGCTCAACGGGCCGCGTTTCCACTCGCGCGGCAAATTTAATTAATTATTCACGCACTAATTAATTTAGATTTAATATTTTTGCCAGAAACATATTGCAGTTTATAATAGTTATAAATTAAGATTGTTGATATTGTATCGATATTGCCGATTCATAATTTTCGATACGATACTATTGTTTAGGCTGCGCCCAAGACTGTGGCGGCTGGGCGATATGCAGAGGTCGTTTTTAATTCCATGCTGCCACACTGAGCGATACAGCTGTCTGGCAACGCTCAATTACGTTAATTTAAATATGAATGGTGCTAAAATTCATTTAATAAAGTCAACAAATATCGCACAAGCTATAAAAACGGATTTAAGTTGTTTCAACCATAACAATAAGTGCACTTTTTGTTGTGGGTTCATTTCGAGTATGTGAATTAATAACTCATTTACGCAAACCCACGTATTTGGTCCAAACACCTTTGTTATCAAAGTAGGGCTTGTTGCGCGAACAAATAATCGCTTGTTTAAAAATGGCAGCATATGCTAGCGGTATTGACGCATGCTTGTAAAGATTATAAAGAAATTCATAAATCTGAAATGAGCACAAAATTATAAACAATATTAAGGGGATAAATGGGTTAAGCTCTTGCCTTTGCCTCCTGGTCCTTCCAAAATATGTGATCACATAGAAACTGCAAGCTCTCAGGGAATAATGCGAATCGTTCCTTGCCATCTGTGGCCACGACATCTACACTGCCTAGCAGTACGGCACAGCCGGACAACACATCCACTGCCAATATAAAAATGTCCAGCAAATATAACGCTCTGTTCAATTTCTCTTTGTTGGAAGCCTCGGCGAGCAGCATTTGAATCTCCAAAAAGATTTCCATTGTCCAGTTGCACGCATGCTCATCGCTGCCAAAGGCGTACAGTGTAGTAGCCAGATGGCGATAGAAGAAGGGACGTTCCTCCGCTCGCCGTTCGTAGGCATCGATAATGGGCGTTAGCCATTTTAAAGGATTCGGCAGTTTTTCGTTATAAAGCACCAGATAGCAGCGGATTATGGTTGCCTTCTTTAGTTTTCCCGCCGGTGTTTCCCACCAATTCGCTGGCGTGGTCAACCCATCGATGGCATTGGGATGCAGCACAGAGACCACTTCGGTGTAACGCTCAAACAATCTTGAATCCAAATTCATGGAGTCCATATAACGCTCCACTATAAGCGTGAATACGTCCAGCACCTCGGGTATCTCACATTTGTCAGTGTATATGTACCTTACGCTGTCCAAGAACTTCTCAAACAGGCAACCTGGAAAGCACACTTTAGTCGCGGGCCCTGAATACAATTATGGGTCATGTACTTACCCTCCGCAAAGTCGTTCAGCTGCGATTCCTTGAAGCAGTAGACAGCCACTTTCTCGGCAAAGTTCTTCAGTATTTGCAAGCTCACGCTGTTGCCAATCTCAGGCAGCAAGGAGAACAATAGCAGCAGATCCTCCTCAAAGCAATTGGGCTCAAAATCGGCTAGAAAATTTTCTAGCAGCCGTCGGGCAGTGCCGCTGTGCAGCGCTTGGTTTTTGGCTATCATGATGCAGTATTTGCGAGCATCGAACGACAGGTGAAAGAAGCTGGTCAGGCAGCTCCAGTCCATCGGTGGTATCGGCTTAGCGAATCGCTTGGAGAGTGCGCGCAGAGCATAGGTGACGGCATAGGGTTCTGGCACGTAGTCGCCGAACCGAGACTGATTCACCAGATAGTTGCTGACAGCACGTAGCGGACTGGTGGCAAAGAGACCCGCCAGCTTGCGTGGCTCCGGTTTGCCCTCGGGCAGACGATAGACGCCGCTGCGAAAGCCGCTGATCTCATTGCCAATATAATGGGCCACAAGATCAGCAGCCGCATCGCCGCACTCGGGTCGTATCTTTTGCAATAGCTGCACCCATACTTCGCCCGGAATGGACTCCTGCTGCTGCTGCAAATTGATCACCTCACGTGCTCCTGTAGCCACACCCACAGCGCCCACTCCGGTAATTTCGAAGCGAAATTGCGGCGGTATGTGGCGAAGGCACATCGTGTTGCCTGGCTCGTAACTCTTGAGCGCAACAAGGGCATTTCGCACCTGTGTAGCGTCCGTGTTTGGACGGCTAACAGCCTGCCACAGCTGCTCTAGTGCATCATCCGCCAGTTTCTCGTACTCCAGCGTCGGTGTTTGCAGCAGCGGCACCAGTCCAAACAGGTGATAGAGCGACTTCAGCGTCTGGGGACGCTGTTCACTGCGAAACTTGCTGCCCAGCGCCTGCCACGTGGACGCAATGTTTACGGTGTGGCTGTCGCACAACGCATAAATGGCGTCCAAAGCCAGCGACGTGGCTAAATCGCCTGATTCATCGGTGCAGCTGTTCAGCGTGTTGCTCAAATGTGGCAGCAGCTCCGAGCCATGCAGCGTGGGTCTGCAAGGCACACAAAAGTAATTACAACTCAAATAATCAAAGCTATGTATATATATTAGTTACTTTTCCTGGCAGATTTCGCGCATGGCATGAGTACGTGCTATTTCCAGCTCCCAGCGTTTATCGTTGTCCGGCAGCGGCTGTGCGATTTGCTTCAACAGAAAGGGATAGGTGCGAGTTTCTACGCGCCACAGACGCAAATACAAATCCACGCAGAAGGTGGCATTGTCAGTTGATAGATTCCGGATGGTGTTCAGTATCATGGGCACATTATCCTAACGAGGAATAGATTATACAGATTAGTTCAGTTCAAGCAATATGGTAAATGTATGTACCTTGGACACGGCAAAGCTCGCCAGGCCGCGCAACAGCTCCAGTTGCAGCTCCGGATTGTGTTCGTGGGCGAGCTTGAAAATGTACGTCATGAGAAAATCGTAGGCAATGGTCTCGTTAACCTTGATGATCTGCAGTATGACCTCGTAGATCTTGAACCAACAGTCAACGGGCGGTTCACGGGAGAGGAAGAGCGCGCGCAGAAACAAATGCAGACGCTGACAAAAGGCCGTATTGGCCTTCACATTCAAGGCGTCGACGAAGGCAAACACGTCCTTGTTGTCAGCAACATCAAAGGACTCCACCAGATTGGCCAGATCGAAGGCAATTGCTATGTCCGGATGATAGTTTCGCATATGCGCCGGCTGCAGCTCCTTGGTGCAGATGCGAGTCGCAATCTCCACGTTCCCATCCTCTTGCGGCTTTTGCTGCTCCAGCACGCGCTGTACAATTTGATTGGCTAGCGCCAGGCCCTCTGCGGGTATGAATGCAGTCTGAGACATCCACTGAATGATTCCGTCCAGACACATGTTCAGAATGTATTCATGGCCACAGCGCTCCTGCACCACCACAAACACAATAATGCGCAGCAGATCAGCCAGGTAGAAGGGCGACAGCACGTGCAAGCATTCGGCGAGCAGCACTAGCAGCACATGGTAGTGATGTCGCGTGTGCTCCCGCGTGGCATGCAACACACGCAACAGGCACTGCAGGCTGGGACGCGGATCGATGCCAAAGTGGGCCAGCTGCTTGATGAGCTGCGCCTGATAAATGCACAGATCGATGGACTGGGCATGGTCCGCCTGCTGCAAAAAGTAATCGATGGCCTCGATGACCAGAATGCTGGTGCACCGGCAGGTGCTGGCATTGTTGAACTTGCTCCACGACAACAGCTCCTGCATAAGCGCTCGCGCCTCTGGCTGGCTATGGCTCAGGCCCAGCAGGCACGTCCAAATGGGCTTGACATCCTGCAGCGTCTGAGGATTGCACAGCACATAGAGAAATACGGGCCGGAGATATTCAATGCTGTAGTCCCGAATGCTGCAATCAAATAAACATATTTTAGTATTATTCCCCTTAATTGTATTTAAGCTGGTTTTTACTGCTTGTCGTGATGCTGACAGACGCCAATAATCTTGTTGCTGACATCATGCATGTTGGCGCTGCTGTGCTGCAGCAGCGATATCAGCGGATGCAGTTGCGTCTTCAAGCCATAGGGACACTGATACACCTCCTTGTCCTTAAGCAGCGAAGTTTTCCGTTTAAGACCCAGCAGCTGCAGGCCCAGAATGCTCTCCGTAATAATTGCGAAGTGCATTGGTCTGTTGTAGTATTAGGGAAAACATACATTCGATTAGAATCTTATAGAATTTTAGCTAATAGTTATTTAATTGTAAATTAAATTGTTTATTTCTATTATAAGTATAGATATGATTGAAAAATTTTACTTATAAAATTGAAAGTGTCTTCGTGAAGATTATATTATTTTAAAGCAAAACAATTCTAATTTGATTGAGAGCGTTCTAGTTGGGAGTGCCAGACTGAAAGATATCCTGAACTCAGCTCGATGCGTTTTAACATACGGACAGTCGGACATGGTTAGATGGACTCGGCTGTTGCCACTGAGAGAGAATACATATAGTTTATGTGGTCGGATCTACTTCTTCAGGCTGTTACGTGCACTTGCATTTAATCATAATACCCTTCTTTACCAAATTTTTAATGGGTTCAGGGTATAAAAAGGAATAGTTGAAAATCGCAGCTAGACTTTATGCGTGCGTGTCTACAAAAAACTAAAAGGAGCGTGCTGCGCGTGGAGCACAATTGCAATTGCTGGCTTTGTGCAGGTAAGGTATATGTATATCAGTTGTTAGATGCCATTAGGGTTGAACGGGTTTAACTAGCGTTTAGCACCCACTTCCGACACACACACACAGAGAAAGAAAGGGAAAGGACTCTGGCTGGAGCTGCTCCTGGCTACTTGCTGGCGAATCGTTTTGCGTTTGACGCGATAATTACAACTCACGCGGCTGGCACAATGGCTGCTCGCTTTAATTGCTGTTTCTGATGCAAGGGGCAATTAATATGCAATCCTTTTTACTGGCACCTGCACTTGGCTCTTATCAAGGTTAATTTCCGTATTACATGCTGTTTACTTTTTCCCTTTTTGGCCAATGTTGATTGTTGTTGTTATTGCTGTTAGGGTGCGGGCGCGAGCGTCCTTCAAAATGTGAAAACATTTCAAGTTCAATGCCGCGCACGTTTCTCTCCGGCTTGCATATCAAATATTTGCCTGGCAAGTGGCCTGGCGCGTAATTTGAATATGGCCAGTTACAGTCACAAGGCCAAGACGCTGTCCT